CACACACACAGAGAAGCCATGTTGTGCAGGCGGTAGATGCTGGTAATCCGCCATGCTGGAAGCTGCTGATTCTAAAAGGGCCCACAATGATCAAAACAGGAAGGATGATTGCACAGTGCCGGGTACCGTGCTGCTGCTTAAAAAAATTGTTTCCAACTCCAAATAATCCCAAGTGCAGATCCTCCTCTCCATTTATCCTTGCAGATTCAGGGGGATCAGAGCTAAGTGCAAAAACAAAAGTCAAGAGCCATCCAGGGAAGATGGTGGACTGGGTGGACTCTAAGCTCACCTGGTCCCATGGATACAACTAGATAATAACCCCCTTCAGTGTAAAGAACCCAGAAAATGACCCAAAGACTGGCAGAACAGACTCTCCACAAGCTAAATGTAGAGAAGAGGCCACATCAAAGAAGACAGGAAGCTGGAGGTGCAAGCCAGGAGGCAAACTGACCCTCAGGACTGTCTGCAGGAGGGAGGGAGAGGGGAGAGAAACAGACCCCCCCCACACCGGGGAGCCTGCGGGGGTGGGGGCAGGGGGGGAGGGATGAATCCCATAACCTCCAGCTTTGAAAACCAGAACAGCCAAATTTCATACAGTCGGCAGTGCTTAAGCTGGAACTTTAAAGATCAGCCTGCTGGGCTCTGAGAAGGGAGGGCAAGAGGAAAAGGAGTCCCCGCCCTTAAAGAGACCGCACCGCAAGCAGCCCCACTGGGATACAGCACACAAGCGCAGTCTGAGAACTGCCTGGGGTAAATGGGAGGGAGATTTGCTTACTACTCTCAGAGCGATGCTAGAGGGACAGGAATCGTTGGGAGACTTCAAGAACAAAAGCGCTGGCAGGCTCTGCTTTCCTCTGCTTCAGCCCAGCCTAGATCCACAGACGTGTGGGAGTCAGGGTAGTGCAGCACTCACCACCCAAAATGGTAACAGCAAGCCTCACCCCCCCGCCCCCCTTCTCCTACAGCCACACCCCATCCATCCCCACCGCCTATGGAGTTCTGGGCAGCTGCAGTCTCCTCCTGCCGTGGACCTGCACGGCCCACACCACATGCCACGTCCACACACTCAGGGGACTCCCCTATCCAGCCTGTCGCAGGAGTTTTCTAAAGGGGGGCTCCAGGCCACCCCCCACAGCCAACCTACCCAGAAGCTGCTAACACCATGACCCTGCCCCCTCCCGTGCACCATTAGCCAGAGCCTATCCAAGCCTGGGCCACACACCTGGCAGTGTGCAAGCAACCCCAGCAGGGGCCAGCACCACTCCCAAGTGAATCCTGCCCCAGGGAGACGGTAAGGGAACAACACACACCAGTCTGATGTGGCCCCAGCAGGAGACTGGGGGCAGACATCTGGTCTGACGGCAGCTCCACCTGCCAACACAAGCTGCTTGGGGGACAACACAGGGAGAGCACCCTGCAATTTGGTGCCACTGCATCTTTGGCAAACACCCGAACTGCCTCAACTCAAGCCCCAGGCAGCCCCAGACTGGCCGGCTAACACAGGGACCAAACACAGGCTACAACAGGCAGAGAGAGCCACTGCAAAGGACGACACTGAAGGCAAACGCAGCTCACCCACAACCCTAGGGCACACACAACATAGAGACCCCCAGTGAAGCACCATGTTCTGATGAACAGGGAACACTGCACTGCAGGCACTCCTGGAACTCTTCATAAGGCCACTACTTACAAGAGCAGGAGACATAGCTGACCTTCCTAACACAGAAATAGACACAGAGACAAAATGAGGAGACAGGAATACGTCCCAAATGAAAGAACAAGACAAAACTGCAAGACGGCTAAATGAAACAGTTAAGTAATATGCCTGATAGAATTTAAAGTAGTGATCATAAAGCTAATCACTGGACTTGAGAATAGAGTGGAAGATCTCGGTGAGACCCTTAAAGAGACAAGAAACCTAAAAAGAACCAGAGATGAAAAACAAATTAAAAATACACCAAAGGGGGGCGCCTGGGTGGCTCAGTTGGTTAAGCGACTGCCTTCGGCTCAGGTCATGATCCTGGAGTCCCGGGGTCGAGTCCCACTTCGGGCTTCCTGCTCAGCAGGGAGTCTGCTCCTCCCTCTGACCCTCCTCCCTCTCATGCTCTGTCTCTCATTCTCTCTCTCGCAAATAAATAAAATCTTAAAAAAAAAAGAATTAAAAAAAAATACACCAAAGGGAATAAATAGTAGAGGAGAGGAAGCAGAAAAATGGATCAGTGACCTGTAGGATAGAGAAATGGAAAGTAATCAAGCTGAACAGAAAGAACAAAGTAATAAGTAAAATAGATCAAGCATAATAACACGGACATCAGAGGTATCCCAGAATGTGAGGAGAGAGAGAAGAGGGCAGAAAATTTCTTTAAATAAGTAACACCTGAAAATCTCCCCAATCTGGAGAAGGAAACGGGAATCCAAATCCAGGAGGCACAGAGAACCCCCAATAAAATCAACCCAAGGAGATCCACACCAAGACACATGGTAATGGGTGGCTCAGTCAGTTAAGCGTCTGCCCTCAGCTCTGGTCATGATCTCAGGGTCCTGGGATCGAATCCCGCATCAGGCTCCCTGCTCAGTGGGGAGTCTGCTTTTCCCTTTACCCTTCCCCCTGGCCCATGCTCTCTCTTGCTCTCATAAATAAATAAAATCTTAAAAAAAAAGATACATAGTAATTAAAATGGCAAAAATTCATGATGAAGAGAGAATTTTAAAAGCAGCAAAAGGAAAACCATTACATAGAAAGAAAAACCCCATAAGGCTATCAGCTGATATTTCAGCAGAAACTATACAAGCCAAAAGGGAGTAGCATGGTATGTTAAAGGGGATTCTTTGAGTGGAAAGGAAAGACCACACTCAGGAGTAAGAAAAGCAGGAAGGACATAAGGAGTAAAATTAAGTGTATCTATAAAAGTCAACCAAGGAATTCACAAAATAAAAGGATGTAAAGTATGAAACCATATACCAAAAACGTGGCGGGGGCGAGGAGTAAAGAATGGGTTTAAACATAAGCAACCATCAACTTAATATAGACTGCTATATGCAGATGTTATATACAAACCTAAAGGTAACCACAAATCAAAAACCAGTAATATGCAAAAAACAAAGAAAGCAATTCAAATATCTCACTAAAGAAACTCAACAAACCATGAGAGAAGAAAGCAAGGGAGCAGAAAAGAACTTTAAAAAAAAAAAGTAACCAAATGGCTCTAGCTACATACCTATCAATAAACTGATTGTAAAAGGAATAAACTCTCCAATCAAAACACAGAGTGATGGAATGGATAAAAAAGCAAGACCCATCTATATGCTGCCTACAAGAGACTTCAGCCCTAAGTCACATGCATATGGAAAGTGAAGAGATGGAAAAGCAGTTATCATGCAAATGGAAGTGAAAAGAAAAGTGGGTAGCAACACTTCTATCAGACAAAATATACTTGAAAACAAAGATTGAAACGAGACAAAGAAGGATATTACATAATAATAAAAGGAACAATCCAACAATACGACATACCATTTGTAAATATTTATGTACTCAATATGGGAGCACCCAGATATTTAAAATAATTATAACAAACATTAAGAAACTAATTAATAGTAATACGATAGTAATAGGGGACTTTAACATCCCACGTACATCGATGGACAGATCATCCAAACAGAACATCAACAAAGAAACAGTGGCTTTGAATGACACTGGACCAGATGGATCTAACAGATATAATCAGAACATTTCATACTAACACAGCAAAATACATTCTTTTCAAGTGCACACAAAACATTCTCCAGAATGGATCACATATTGGGCCACAAAACAAGTCTTACAAATTCAGAAAGACTGAAGTCATGATCATTTCAATAAATGCAGAAAAAATACTTGACAAAGTACAACATTCGTTCATGATACAAACCATCAAGAAGGTTTAGAGGCGACATACCTCACCCTAATAAAGGCCATATATGAAAAAGTCAAAGCCAACATCACAGTCAATGGTGAAAACCTTAGAGCTTTTCCCCTAGGATCAGAAACAAGACATGAATTTCTACTCTCACCACTTTTATTCAACATAGTACTAGAAGTATTTGCCACAGCAATCAGAACAGAAAAAGAAATAAAAGGCATCCAAATTGGTATGGAAGAAGGAAAACTATTTGCAGATGACATGATACTATATAGAGGAAACTCTAAAGACCGCCAGAAACCTATGAGAACTGATATATGAAGTCAGTAAGGTCACAAGGTGCAGTGGTCCGCTGCATTTCTATACATACACTTATAATGAAGTAGCAGAAAGAGAAATTAATAAAACAGTCCTATTTACAACTGCACCAAAAATAATGAAATCCTGGGAACAAACTTAACCAAGGAGGTGAAAGACCTGTACTCCGAAAACTATCAAACATGGGTGAAAGAAATTGACAGTGACACAATCAGAAAGATACTCATCCTCATGTAGTGGGAGAAGAATTATTGTTAAAATATCCTTACCAGACAAAGAAATCTACAGATTAATGCAATCCCTATCAAAGTACCAACAGTATTTTTCACAGAACTAGGACAAATAATCCTAAAATTTGTATGGAACCACAAAAGTTCCCAAATAACCAAAGCAATCTTTAAAAGAACAAAACTGGGGGTGTCACAATCTCAGATTTCAAGCTATACTCCATAACTGTATTAATTAAAACAGTATGGTACTGGCACAAAAATACACACATAAGTCACCAGAACAGACTAGAGATCCCAGAAATAAACCCACGATTTTATGGTCAATTAATTTTCGACAAAGTAGGTAGACTATGCAGTGGGAAAAAGGCAGTCTCTTCACAAATGGTGCTGGGAGAATTGGACAGCCACATATAGAAGAAGGAAACGCAACACTTTCTGACATGAAACACAAAAATCCTAGACAAAAGCACAGGCAGTAATGTCTCTGACATCATCCGTAACATTTTTTTATATGTCTCCAGAGGCAAGGGGAAACAAAAGCAAAAATAAACTTTTGGGACTTCATCAAAATAAAAAGCTTCTGCACAGTAAAGGATACAATCAACAAAACTAAAAGAAAAACTACTGAATAGAAGGTATTTGCAAATGACATATCCAAAATATATAAAAAACTTACACAACTCAACACCAACAAAATAATCCAATTAAAAAATGGGCAGAAGACACAAACTGACATTTCTCCAAAGACGACATACAGATGGCAAACAGATACATGAAAAAATGCTCAACATCACTCATCATCAGGTAAATGCAAATCAAAACTATGAGATACTACCTCACACCTGTCTGAATGGCTAAAATCCAAAACTCAAGAAACAAGTGCTGGTGAGGATAGGAAAAAAAAGTAACCTTTCTGCACTGTTGGTGGGAATGCAATCTGGTGCAGCCACTGTGGAAAACAGTATGGAGGTTCCTCAAAAAATTAAAAACAGACCTACTCTATAATCCAGGAATCACACTACTGCATATTTACCCAAAGAATATGAAAACACTAATTCAAAAGGATATAGGCACCATTACATTTAAGCAGCATTATTTATAGTAACCAAGTTATGGAAGCAGTCAAAGTGTCCATCCACAGATGAATGGATAAAAAAGATGTGGTATGTTTCTACAACGGAATATTACTCAGCCATAAAAAAGAATGAAATCTTGCCATCTGCAACAACATGGAAGGATCTTTAGATTAGTATAATGCTAAGTGAAATAATTCAGAGAAAGACAAGTACCATATCATTTCACTCATATGTGGAATTTAAAAAACAAAGGAAAAAGGAAACAAATCAAAAACAGCCTCTTGGGGCACCTGGGTGGCTCAGTTGGTTAAGCCTCTGCCTTTGGCTCAGGTCATGACCCCAAGGGTCCTGGAATGGAGCCCTGCACTGGGCTTCTTGCTCAGCAGGGAGTCTGCTTCTCCCTCTCCCCTAGCCCCTTCCCCCAGCTCATACTCCCTCCCTCTTGCTCTCTCAAATAAAATCTTATACAGGAGGCAAAAGATCAACCTAAGGAGGTCCAGACCAAGACACATAGTAAATAAAATGGCAAAAAGTCATCATAAAGAGAGAATTTTATTTTTTTAAGATTTATCTATTTGAGAAAGCATGAGCAGGGGGAGGGGCAGAGGGAGAGAGAGAAGCAGGCTTCCCGCTGAGCAGGGAGCCCGATGTGGGGCTCGATTCCAGGACCCTGAGATCATGACCTGAGCCAAAGGCAGAAACTCAACTGACTGAGCCACCCAGATGCCCCAGCACCCAACTTTTTAATGGGAGTCCAAACTTCAACAACCCTGCAAGATATTTCCACGTGATCTCCCCATTCTTCCCCACATTCTCGTTAAAGAAACCCTACCTACCCTTTTGCCATGCTGGTTGACTTACAATCCCTTGAAAATACCAGCACAGGAAGAAGGGATGCCAATAGCCTGGAAATTGGTCTTCAGTTCATGTGGTCTCAGGTAACCTGGAGAAATGTGCTGGGATTATAACTGGAAGGCAGGCCTTTAGCTAGAGTCTCTAGAATATTCAGGAGGAGCTAAAAGGATATATATATTTTAAAAAGCACTTGAAAATGCCAAGGCATGCTTCCTGACGGCCCAGAGAGCATTGTCATCCCAGTCACACACACCACAGCGGTGGTGCCTCCCTGTGGGGATGCAGGAAACCATCGGAGGCCACCACCCTGCCCAGAGTGCCCCGGGGTCTGGTTCTATAAGCCATCTCAGGCAACTTTTAAGCATTTACTTACATGAAACAATCTCATATCCTACGACCACTGCTATCTTTTGGTCAATTATGATCACCATTCTGACAACTGCCCACCTCCATTCATTACCCCTCTCCCATCTCCAGGCAAAATGAAATCGCTTTCAGCAGATGAATGTTCATTGTCTTCTAGGTAAGTAGGAGTGTCTACCCACTATGGGGCTCTCTACCATCTCTCAACTTCTTCACATAAACAAACCATTCTGGGGCTTTATGTAATGCTTGTTTTTCATAGCTGAAGAAATATGATAGAACCATCAGCCATGTAAGTAGGGAAATATCAAGGCCTATTTATGCTACATGATATGGTAAACACCATAAGTAATATGAGCCCTATACATTTCATCTCTCTCTGATGATTTTATTACATGAACCATTTATTCTACACTTACTGTCAAAATATCAGTATTCAAAGATTAGCAACGTGGTGATTGGTAACCATGACTGGGGTAAATCATGTACCCTCTGAAATCGTATGCATAATTTTGCATGTACCTGCAATTTCCAGGGAGGAGAGTCAAGTTTTCAACAACTTCTCGGGAAAAACTAGTAGCACCCCTCACCAGAGGTTAAAAAACACTGCACTGTGGAGTTCTGAGGTCTCCTCTTTGAACTTTCTGTGTACTTTTTCTGTTCTCAATCCATCTGCAGACTGTAAACTTTGTATTCTCTGCACGGCTTACCCTATTGCCAGAGGCCTGCACAGAGCTAAACAATAACCAACAGCTGGGGTGGTTTACCTGGAGGTGAAACCTGAAGATGGAAAGTGGGGGAGCCCTGCACACAGGAGACTGCATTCCAAATGGAAAACACAGAGAACCTGCTTAAGCCCAAAGCTGCATTTAAAATGACGCAAGATTAGAGGCGGGGAAGATACTGAAGAAAATGTTACTACGGGGAAAAGGTAAGTTTGTGGAAAGCTGCCACGTAAATATTTAAAACACCCACAAGTATCGAATTAGAGGTGTAGAGCGGAGGTATGTAGCAGAGACACCTCTGGTCAGGAGGTCAGGTGACTTGAATTCCAGATGTTGCTCTGCCGCTGTCGGCCCTGCACAAGTCATTAAACAACTTGAGTTTTGGTTTCCCAACTACTGGGAAGGGTATTGGACAAGAAGATCTTAGGATTCCAACATTTTATAATTCCAAATGTCCTTAGAAGCTTGCTTAGATACAGGGTGAGACAAAGAAAAAACAAAATATAAAAAGTGGAGGACACAGATACAAAAGCAACTGTCAGTGTCTGCTGCCAACGTCCACGCTGAACACCCACCGGCACTCACCACTCACTTCTTGGGGGTTCCCTTGGCAGAGCTCTGGAGGTTCACACTTCAAGGTGGTTACCCTGGGCAGGAGCTGGAGGCTCTGACACTCCAGAGAGGCTCCTTGATATTCTGTCACCAGTGGGTACATGTCCTGTCCCTGAGTATAGACAGAAGCCTGAGGACAAAAGATTCACTTTGAAAAGTCTGGTGGGAACCAGACTGAACAGCAGTTAGGGACATCTCCCAGAACACCAGATGGCCCCCATGTTGTCTTTTAAAGAAGCAACGAGTAAGACAAATGAGCAACACAGAGACACTCATCCATGTGGTAAACAAGGACTGCACATGTACTGAGAGACTTTGTTCTACATGCTGGGGTTATCATGGCAAACAAGAGACAAGGCAGACACAGAATCTCTGCCCAGAAAGAAAACAGAACAAACCCAGATGGATGCTTACACTACTGGATGGAACTTTAACGAGGAACAGGGTATATACGTGATCTCAAAACCTCTCCTAAGGATTACTTATTAATTACAAGGGGGAAAATGGTAACTTTATAATACAGAAATCCGACAGACCCCACCTTAACCTCATCCGTAATGGGACAACCCATCACCGTGTGCCTCGTGATGTGATGCACTAAGGAGAACACATAGCTTCTGTGGGATTCTAGCCTAAATGCACAAGCTGCATTCTATCATGAGAAAATAGAAGACAAACCCAAATTTATGAGCATTCTATAAAGTAACTGGTTAGTACTCTTCAAAAATATCAATATCATGACAGACAAAGAAAGACTATTCCAGATTCAAGCAGCTGTTCCAGATTCAAGGAGACTAAAGTAAAGGCAACTAAATGCAGCGTGTGATGCTGGACTATATCCTGGATCAGGATAAAATTGCCAAAAAAAAAAAAAAAAAAACACTACTGGGATGATATGGCAAAATGTGAACAAGGACTACTGTGTAGATAACAGTACATAACAATTTTAATTTCCTAAAACTTGATCTTTGTATTCTGGTTATACAAAAGAATGCCCTTGTTCTTCAGAAATACATCTTGAACACTGAAGTGTTCCTACATAAAGAAGTATGGTGTCCCCAGGTAATTCTCAATGGTTGAAGAAAACACAAAGCATGAGTGTGTGTGTGTGTGTGTGTGTGTGATACACAGACCTATGCATATGCGGAGAGGATGAGGGATAGTGCTCGCACAAGAGGGCGCACATCAGAGTACAGTGTTAACAACTGGTGAAGAGGATACAGGACTTCTCTGTGCTACTTTCCCAGATACTTCTGTCAGTTATAAATTATTTAAAAATAGAAAGTTAAAAATTAACAAATGTTCCCCAACCTGCTGTCCTGGGTCTCCTGTGTCTTTCTGTAGATCCTCCAGCACAGCCAGCGCCTGCTCCCCGCTCTCCGGGGGCCGCTCCCGCACCCGGGCCTGCAGCTCCTCGGGCAGGATGGTCAGGAACTGCTCCAGCACCAGCAGCTCCACGATCTGCTCCTTGCTGTGCGTCTCGGGCCGCAGCCAGCGTCGGCAGAGCGCCTGGAGTTGGGCCAGAGCCTCTCGGGGCCCAGTTACCTCCTGGTAGCAGAACTGCCGGAATCGCAGGCGGCAAAGCTCCTGAGCCTGGCGGCTGCTCTCCCATAACCCCCACGTATGCTCCCAGGTGGGGTCCTCCTCCTTCACTTTGACAAGGCTGTCTCCATTTTCAGGTGCGCAGCCTGGCAAAGCTTCATCCATGCTGGCTTAAAGGCTTAAAGGAAAAGATTCATTTAGCCCAGGTCTACACTTCAAAAATGGTTTTCCACATCCGAGGCATGAGAATGGATCTGTAACATGTAAGTTACAAGAGCTTCAAAATTCCATGAAACATACTTTTATTTTTGTCCCCACTGTAAGTTATGCTCAGAAACTGAGCCTGCTTGCCAATGTTACCAGTGAGATAAATTAGAAATCTATCTTGAATCCAAAGGGGGTTGAGCCAGGAGGTAAGGGATGGAAAGTTAAGGATGTGAGGCAAGCAGGGTTAATAAGGATGCTTGAGCAGCCTCTACTTCAGCTGGAGAGAAGAGAATTTTATCCATGGCAGAGCCAAACATACTCTCATCTGTGTACTTCCCATAGAATATTCCACCTCAAATGCAGGGGAGGTAGACTGTTTCCAAAGTCTCCTGTCCCCTAAAATTTCTTAAGATGAGATTTTGTCACTCCTTTCATCAGGAGGTGGAGTCTATTTCTCCTTTCCTTGAATCTGTGCTGACCTAGGACTTGCTTTGGCCAAGAGAACATGGCAGAAATGGCTTTGCAAGAGGAAGTGCGTAGCAGTCCTTGGCACGCTGCCGTGAGCCTGCTGTGCTGTGAGAACGCCCAAGCTGGCCATGCTGGGTCTTGTGGGTTGGAACCCAGGGGCCCCAACTGAAGTCCAGCAGCGCCTAACTCCCAGCTGATCGCAACCATAGTAACTCCACCAGTAGAAATGCCTAGTCAACCCACAGAATCATGAAAAATAATAAGCTGAGGATATTTTAAGGCACTAAGTTTGGGGTTTCAACTTATTTTAATATAAGAATAGAAAATTGAAACACATACTTCAAGTTCTTTTTCTCTCTCTCTTACTCTCTCCTTTTGTGATCTCATTAATCCCAATTTCAGTATACCTCTATTCCAAGAATATGCAAATCTCTGGCTGACTCCAACTCGCCTTCACATTCCTGACTCACATCTTGAAATGCCAGTAGGATGCCTTCCAGCTTCTCCTGGGTCGTAATTTCAACACATCCCAAGCTGAAACCAGAGTCCTGTCAAAGCTGTACTCACTGTTCTCCCCATTTCCCTTGGCATCACCACCATCCCCCATGCATTCAGGCTTAAAACCTGCTTCTCAGCTGCCTGGGTGGCTCAGGTGTTAAGCATCTGCCTTCGGCTCAGGTCATGATCTCAGGGTCCTGGGATTGAGCCCCACATCGGGCTCCCTGCTTTGCGGGAAGCCTGCTTCTCCCACTCCCTCTCCCCCTGCTTGTGTTCCCTCTCTGTCAAATAAATAAATAATCTTTAAAAAACAAAACAAAAACCAGCCTCTCTACACAGTCATTCGGAGTCCAGTCAATCCTTCTTCCAAAACACCTCTTGCAGCCATTCCCTCCCTTTTATTCCCTATTCCCATGAACATTCAAAACTACAATAATGTTCTATGTGGTATCCCTGCCCCACAGGCCACTCTATCATCACTGCATTAATATTTCCTAAAGCACCATTCGGACCATGTTCAACACATCTCCCTTACCAAAAAGAGGGTTTCAACTGCTCCTTGGACTGGATTCAAACTTTCTCTGGGTTTTTACGGGTTTGTCTGTCATTCGATAAACTACCGAGCACGTCATTATTTTCTAGGCACAACGCTAACCCCATAATAAAAGACACAGTCCCTATCCCCTAGAAACCCCGAAATAAAAGGCACAGTCCCTACCCCCTTTGCAAACTCCTCACATCACTGCCATGCTGACCTGCTTGGCTCTTTCCCACCCACCTTGTCCTTCATGGCCAGGACTGCCCTCCTAGGAGGGCACATTTCCCAAGTCCCAGCGCAAACGCCACCCTACACCTCATGTCCAGAGGGAGGAAACCCGTCTGTTCTCCAGGCCATTCCCGTGAGAACCAGCCTGACCCACCGCGCCCATCCAGTCCCTCTCCGGCTCCAACCACCCCCCAACCCCACCGCCCAGGTCAGAGGTCCGGTCCATACAGCCCCAGCGAGCCCGGCTCC